TTGCAATGACAGTTTACAAATTCAAAATCGGTCTGGAGTCGGTCGATAACGGATGATTACGCCACTGTTTATGTTCGTTTGCGCAGTTTTCGATGAGTCATATCATTCTTAACTTGGACGGAAATGAAATTTGTTACAACGTTGCACTTAGTCTTTCATATTTGTTGTTAGTAATTTAAAAGACATTTTGAAACACATATGGAACAATAATAATTTTTGAAAATATAATAACACAAAAATGAAAAGGGAACTCGGGTACATTTATCGAGAGCCACAAATAATCCTTCAAAGAGCCACATGTGGCTCGTGAGCCGCAGGTTGGCCACCCCTGTACCATACTAATAATGTATTTTTTCCTTCTTTTCGGTTATCCGATCTTTTCAGTTATCTGACCAACCTGAGTCTCCAATTGAGTCGGAAAATCGATGCTCTACTGTATTACTTAGCTTTAATTTGAGTGTGTTTTTTGTGTTGGAACGAATTATTTGGTTTCACATGTGTATGGGGAAAAATGATTCACCTTACGACATTTTCATGATACAATCTGAGTTTCGGAACAGATTAATTTCGTATCCTGAGGTACCACTGTATCAATATAATTTTAACACTAGTGTTTATTGATATTGAGACAAAACGGATTTAGATAAAATAATTTATAACAACTTTAGTCATATTATACAAGCTGAAAAAGTAAAAAATGTGAGAACATCCTATTAATACAGAATGTAAAATAAGAGCTACACTTCATGAAAGAAAAATTGATAATGCAAATTTTTTAACTTTTGTTATAATGTAAAGAAATTATTTTATGAACTGTTAAATATTATGAAAGATAAGCTAACTAAGAAGACTCAATAAAAAGATGCGGCCTGGTGTGAAAAACAACAAAACTATAGGACAAAACATTTTGCACAGTAGATGAACACAGTGCTGAATCATTTAAAGAATGCTTACATTTCTACAATTAACATGGTACTATTTGCCAAGTCAGCAACCAATTCATTCAGTGTTTTGGACAATTCTGTAGCCAATTCATTAGAAACTGGGCCATGTTCAGTAACGCAGAACACCTAAGTTAGAATTCTGAGTGGCTTAGTAAGCAGAGCTAAGAACACATAAAAGAAGCTAGTGGTGAGAGGAGTCAAGCAGTAGTTAGAAACAAGTTCAACATTGCAGCATAACTAGACTTAGCAAGAATTCTGCGTTACTGAAAAAGGCCCTGCTTCATACATCTTTCACCTATAATTTACACTATGCTTGTTGCCGAATCTGTGGGCAATTCATCAAGAAAACGACTCGTTTATCCTTAGCCTTAAAATTACAATCAATTCAATAGTCTAATGACAAACGATATGTTGACAATTTGCCATGGATTATTCTTTGATTTTCATTACAACCTACAATAATCCTATATTTACCAAATAAAGATAATTCATTGATTTTTACGACCGAATTTATTTCTTAACCATACTTCAAACCAGTGAATGAGCAATATCATATCTGTCGAAATTAAAAACAAAGTTTGACTTTTATGGTGACTTCTTTTATGGTTTCTAACTTATAAAAAAATCACCGAAATATTTGCATCGTGACACTCACAATATCATCCAAACGTAAACAACTAGATTCGTTTTTTCTTCCAAATCTCAATGCTAAAACTTTATCTTCGGTTTTCTTAATAGCTTCATCAACATCCTGCTTTGTTTTCAATTCAGGAAGAAGAAAACTCATTACAATTAAATCGTATTTTTCACGCGCCGAAATCACAGATGTTTAAAATTCGACTTCAGCGCCCTCTGAAAAATAGAAATGATTAAACAAAAGTATTTTTCAGTATTCGCGCTTAGTTTCGGATTTTCTCCAACAGAAATCGCCAATAGGACCTGTCCAATGTAAACATCGCATATTTTCAATGATAAAAATATTATTTGAAGAAAATAAAGTAGCATAGTATTTAAATTAAAAACTGTCAATTTGAATAAATTGTGGTTATTATCATACGTATTCGTGAAAAAATTCTTCCGGTTTTACTATATCTACGAGGGTGGATCAAATATAAACGGGATTTATTTTATGTTTTAAAACTATTTATTAAAACATAATAAAAAACATTATGATTTATTTATCTACATAGCTTCCTACTATAGAAATACATTTTTCCCAGAGAGAAGGAAGGTTTCTTATTCCAGTATCGTAGAATAAAGTTGGTTTCGTCAGGAGCCAATTGCGCACGAATTCCTCCACTCCTGTATCATCTTCAAATCGCTGCCCTCCTATAGCTTCTTTAAGCGGCCCAAACAAATGAAAATCGCAGGGCGCTAGGTCCGGGCTGTGGGGAAGATGATCAAGTGCAATCCAGTGCATTTCGTTAAGTTTTGAGATTGTTAGAGCTGCAGCCTGGCGTTGTCATGGAGGAGAATGACATCTCAAATCGGTTGATTTCGTTTCTTGCACCGATATGTAGCCTTAGCTTTTTTCAACAGCTCGCAATAGTAAGCAGTATTGATTGTGCTTCGAATAATGTCTTGAATCGCTCGAATGTTTTCGCTTGTGATGCTAGTCCGAGGACGGCGATCGTGTTTCTGATTTTCCACTCGCGTCCGTCCTTCCTTGAGCTCTTTATGCCAGGCAAACACGAGTCCTTGACAGTGTTTGATCTCCAAACTGTGCAGTCAATCTGCGAAAAATTTCTGTCGTGGAGACTCCTTTACGAGCAAGAAATTGTATGATTATGCGTTGCGCGACAGAGGGGTGTACCTGTTGCTCCAACATCGTGAGTACTACTGACGAATTGGTTGAAAGTCTAAAACGGCCGGCGTTCCCCACTCCTAATGATCCTACCCAATCAGACTAGACGCGCGGGCCCTGTACTGCCAACCTTAGTTGCTCAGGAACAAAAATCCCATTTATATTTGATTCACCCTCGAAAATTATTTGCCGACAGGCCCATCGGTTCGTTATATTATATATAACGCGTTATAACTGCTAAATAATATTTAAGTTACAATTTAATAAAGATTTTTAACGTCTCCTTACACGAATAGCAAATAATCGAAGAATATTTAGAAGTAATGTTTAGTTTATGGCCCTGTACACACTAGGCGTTTTTCAACGCGCGTTTAACGCCGAACTAACACGCGTTTAACGCCGAACTAACGAGCGTTTAACGCCGAGCTAGCTCGGCCTTACTCGTTACTCGGTGTCACTCGTTACTCGTTACACTTAGTAACGAGTGACGACCAATTAGAAAGTGGGAATGAGGAATAAGAGTTAGAATAGAAATATAAAGACGGATAGATAAAAGGATGGATGAAAATTGGAGGTTAGTTTCAAAATCAACCACAATCACAGATTCCAATCTTCGTAAAAATGGAATTTGCTGTTTTTGAAACTATAGTATATTCCTCACGTGCACTCTGTATATGTTGCAATCTAGTGATAATTATGCTGACTATTCTGTCACTAGATGGCACTAATAGTTAAAGTAGTCAAGATGTGAATCGAAACGATAAGAACGGACGGTGATAAATGTTTGCCGTCTTTTTTTTATAAAATTTTATGGAGAAAGTAGGTGAAAGACCAAATCTTCCAACAGTATTTAAATAACTGATTTATTTAGAGAAGAAGGCGTGCATATTTAATAAAACACCAACGACAAGACCGAAGAATTTTAGACGAGGAGGTTAGAGAAGATAATGGAGCATACTTACCTGGCGCCGGGATAACCGTGATCCGGAGGGCGGTTTCCCCAGGGTGAGGCTTGACCATTGCACTTGGGTTTAGCTGACTCCTGCCACTACCCCAAACTGGGGCAGATGGGGCGTGTAATTTGTGGTAGCTGGGGACTGCGTTCGCGCTCTCCCCTTGTAAGTAAATAAAAAATAGTGATGCTTTCATGATCTGTACGGTATCAATTAGAAATAACGTGCTTTTTTTGTAACCGCAGACGTCATTTTGTTTTAATATGTCGTATTATCACAGTTATTCAATTGGGAACGCGATTATTTATTACAGGTTTGCAACCTTAACATTACTGCACTTTAATCTCTACTTTCTCCGATTCATAGAAAAAGCACGATAAACATTTAGCACCATCCGTCCTTATCGTTTCCATGCATATCTTCACTACTTTAACTATTAGTGCCATCTAGTGGTAGAATATATATACAGTATATATATATGTATGTATGTATGTACGATGTGTGTGTATATAGGCTATATACTATATACGTGTGTGGGGTGCAACTAAAAACATGAAGTATGGAGTATCGAATGTTTGAATGAAACTTGCAACGCAAAAATACATAACTTATATATATTGTTGTATATGATTGATTTATATGAATTTAATCTAGATATAAATAACAATTACATGAAATCAGTGAAAGAATCACGGACACAACTTTCAGTCATTAGTTTCATATGAATGATGAAAGGGAAAAATAGTATTCTATTACGTTACTAAATATTCTAAAACTACGGGTTGTACCATTTAAATTGAAACTTATATGATGACTGTCTTTACTTTACTTTTATACTTACGTATAAACAAATTTCGATTGTTAAAAAAACTGTTATAATCAAAAGTATATTAGAGTAGGTTACCTAAATAAATGCTACAAAAAGTGTTTTATTTAATCAATTTTCTTATCGTACATTTGTAATTAACAGCAATTTTAAGCTTTTCATTTGTTTAAAAAATATGACAAATTGTTGCCCGCTTTACAAGTTCTCGACAGCCCTGCACACAGTATTATGTATATATATAATATCGCGTGCAGTGTTTGTTTATTAATAAAAAGTAAAAGTAGTCTTTAAGATTTTATTTTCTGTTACCAAAAATAACATCAATTGTATAGTGATAGAAACTTAAGTTTACCGGGCTTTATGTTTATGTTTACCGGGCTGTTATGATTTATGTTTAGGGCTGTTGAGAGAGGAGAGCTGGTCTGGGAAAATTCCCAGCTCTCCTCTCTCAACAGCCCTAAACATAAATCATAACAGGCACAAATTTGAATGACCTGAAATGTAACGTTAGCGAAGATTATGATTATTAGATTATAGCCTATCTTACCCATTTTCACCGTTGCAAGAATTAGGTCCCCTCTCTTCCAAGACTAATTAGGGAATTTTTAGATGGGTCTAAAAATATGTTCGATTTCCTGCAAAAATGCAAAAAAACGCATCTAAAATAGTACAGCAGAAGCCGAGTTCTTCAGGTTAATCCTTAACCCTCTTCCTATCCCCGCGGGGGGAATTTCGAAAAATACCTTCTTAGTATGCATTCTCATGACGTACCCTGTGTACCAAATTTCAACTTTCAACTCCTAACCGTTTGGGCTCTTCCCTTATTATTAATATGTTGTAATGACGCAAAAATATTTTTCAACTGTTGACCATAATCTTGTTTAAGTATTGTATATTCATAAATTGTTGACTCATTACAAGACAGATGTATTTTTTGTGTATATAATTTTTCAGTTTTTCCAGGACAGGACACATTTGTCGTAGACATAAGGCCAGTTTTCAAGATTTTTTTCAATACTGTAAGCTACACTTACTGCACATGCATGATCATTTCCTCCACTCATTTATCTGATAGACTCAAAGAGCATAGTCCAGATGGCCACGCAGTCACGGTGGCAGCCTACTGCTTTGGGAGATCCTAATTCGAATCCGGATGGGTCGAAAAATTCCTGAGGATTTTTCGATTCGTCCGGATATGTCTATGGCTTCGGCCGAACCCATAATGGGCTTGCTAAAAGAGGCCCTCTTAGTGTCCACAGGGCGGAAAGAGTATAAAAAAAAAGACCCAAAGAGCACCTCAACATCATCACTATTAAATTTTCTTGTTAGAATGTAATGAAAACCAGCTTTCAATACAATAAGTAGCGAATATATGCTACAGTCGAAAGAGTAGTAAGTTTTACAGCATTATATGTTTTCATCTATAAAAATTCCACTGTTTGATCAACACGTGACTTTTTCCATTTTTCTAAATATGAAAGGAAATCATTTTCAAGCCACAATAGGCGTTGATCATCTGTGGCAAAAAATGGCATAACATCAGGATTTCTGGAATGCATGTAGAAATTTGAGTTAGAAACATTATGTAACGTCTACCGTTTGTACATTATTTTCGTGAATTTAATTGTTGCTCCAGAATCTTCAAATTCGTGTATGTTTCCTTCCTTGTCACGCATTTTTAAAACCTCCATTACAGAAGTGACATCAGGAGACATTAGTTGAACTGCTAGTAGCACGTTCATCTTATCAAAATTATTTGGGAAAACATGCTTTCTTGTAAGATTTCGGACAGGCTTTATTACTTCATTTAATTGTAATTTTAAAAGGTGTTGTAAATATTTCAGTAAAATTTCGCCTTCCTCATTTTTCAACTTTCGATTGGGAGATAATAAATTTGAACGTAAATTTTTAATAATATGACTTGAATCAAAACTTAAGAATAATTGTCGTTCCCTATCTACGGGATGCTGTACAACCGGTTTCGTGTGGTCACCACTTAGTAAATGAAATGTGCAATTTACACTGAAGTTGTTTGAGACAATTCTGGTAACAAAAGAAAAGAAAAAAAAAAAAAAACAATTTGTTCTACTTCTGCAAGAATTTTTAAATCAAAGTATACTGCTGTTTTTCTGTTCATTTATTTGTAAAAAAAATATGCTACTGGAATTCTTAGTTTTGTATTTAGTCCAGTTATGAAATAGCATAGCACACAGTTAACGGGTTGAGGGTGTCCAATCTCATTTATATTTATCTCATTCGTGTCAACATTACCCATGAAGCAGTCAAGATATTTCTGACAAGTCAATGAAGGTTAAATAGCCATTTTCATCTATTACTAATGACACTATTTTTTATATTGATTTTACCTCGGTCGCTTCTTTTACCAAATACTTTCAAATGTATTAAAATCATCGAAACGATGATTTTAATACATTCAATTTTTATTTAAATCGCGAGAAAAAACAACGTTAATTTTTACGTTTAATTAAATTTTGATTTGATCAAAGGATCTTTTCGATTTTCTATCACGTTCCGTTCTTTTCGAGCGAAGACGAATCCACTTTCGTTTTAAAAGTCATTTATTGTGTTAATATTTCAAAATTAACAAATAAGACTGAAACTGTTATAAACCGCAATTGCAAATGTGGGCATAATGTTAATAATTCCAACAAATTTAAAAAGTATTACAGAAAAAGATAATAAAACGAACGTTTAAAGATCACACACCAGTGACATCGACTACAGCATTTAGATGAGGCGAGAAAGAAAGAAAGAGTAAAGTCAGCTTTGCGCAGAGGCGATATCGTTACTAATGAAGTTTATACTGAAGTGCGATTATTGCTAGTTGAAAACTTTAACCAATATCCCGCCCTGAGGTCTTTGTAAGACCACTGAGGCAATTTTTGTGGCCTTTACGAAGGCCTTAATAATGAATCTAAAGTTAGATAGTTTATAACGGAAACGGTTACCAGCCGTTGCTTGGGCGAAACATCGATGTTTATTTACATTTTTACTTTTTTCACATTTACATCAGAAATTAAAGTTAAACGTTTTCTTGACATTTGTTATTGCAATAGGTACTGTACACGAATATAACCTGCTCTCACAAAAGGAACAAATTAAACTGGTAATTTATTAAAATCAAACCACAATTCAACACCTTTAGTTGCTGAGAAATTTATTAAAAAACGCAACTAACGTTTTCGGCCAAATCTATTGGCCATCTTCAGGTCAAAAGAGAAAAAAATTTTTTTAGACATAGATATTGAATTTAAAGAAGGGCATTTGGTCACCAGTGATTACGTCAAACCGACGCATAGCCCACTTTACACTTCATCACATTCCATTGCGTTTTTAATAAATTTCTCAGCAACTGAAGGTGTTGTATTGTGGTTTGATCTTAATAAATTAGCAGTTTAATTTGTTCCTTTTGTAAGAGCAGGCTATACCAGAGTTGGTAGATTAACTGGTCTTTCGACTTCCTATCTACGCTCGTTGCTAAAATCAACTAGAGA